GGAAATGATTTAAAACAACAGTTAAACGTTTTTTAAATAACACACAAAAGACAAGACGTCAGTTATTCCTATCTGTTAAAGTTTCATGTCATTGTCTATTTTTCTTGTCACTCTTTTTTGCGGATTTATGCTTGCTGCACGCAAAGGATTGTACGGTAGATCGACATGCCGACATCTTTTTTCCCACTCCGGTCCATATTTGAGGTCAGTGATAAACGCGCCCGTAATGTAGAGGCCCGGCGGAGAATCGTCAGAATTAAAATATTTGGCAAGTACAGTGGAAATTTTGTTGTATTTTCAAGTAAAATATATTTGCCAATTTTAAATTAAACTAAATTGTTTTGTTTTCAAAATAAAGACATGATAAAGCTATTTTCTTTAAAACAACAAAAAAAGGAAGGAGAGTCTTCAAAAAGTAGCGGAGCGAAGCGAGCTTCTGCGGCACAGTTGAGAATCACCAAAGGTCAGTGTATTTCGTCAATTAAATTTTGAGCTTCCGTTGCCAGAATTGATGTATTGTTTGTCAGCAATTGATTTATACCGTGCTTAAATAGGTTTTTATAGTGGTAAACCTTTTCCCAATTGTTGTACTTATTATATAAGGTGCTTAATGAATTGTATTCAAAGCACTAAATATGTTTAACTATATATCTGTGAAACATTGGTCATTAAAGACAGGAATTTGTGTGAAGTGAGTACCAGACTGCCATTAAAGGAACGTCAACAAATACATTTCATCTCCCTTACTTTTCCCCTTATCTTCTCTTAAGATCTACTTTTTCTTCCCAATTATTTAGCAATCCTATTCTGAGGTATCCCCCTCCCCCTTTGCGGAACAAGTCTGTGAACGAGGCTGGAATCTATTTGTCAACGATTCCTAAATGTATAGATTTATAAAGCATTGTTGGTCGTAAGACACCAGCTTGCATATCATGGCAAGTGAAATAACTTGCTTTTTAGGGAGTGTTTATAGGGATCGAGGTGAGCCAGCCCGGGTGTACCTAGTAGCTTGCATTGCCGAACTGTCTCATCCTGTGTTTACATGAGACTTTTGAGGTGGGCTGGCTCGCCGAAACAAACCACTGGTCTTACTGCTATAAATAGTGTATTAAATCTTTTTTATGAACCTGAAATTTGCATTTTGGAAGCAACTTTCATGCATATAACCCACATAATTGTTCACAGAGACATTTTAAGATTGAAATCGGTTGAAAGAATCTGATTTACAACAATATATTTGTGTGAACATAGCAATACTCAGCCTGCTTCTAGGTGAGACAACCCAGTCTCCCGAGATCTCGGTTCAGTCGAGGCGGAATCTCCCTTTGGCAGGCCAGCTCTAGGGGTGCACTGAAACTTGGTTCCGGCCGGAACCCTAATTTTTCAGATTTCCGGTTCCGGCCGGAAATAATAAAAAAGGCATGGCCAGCCGGAACCAGAACTCTGTTATTTTCAGAGAGATAGAATATCAGATGTTTTTGTGTCTAACAAAAGTTCACAGTAGGAAGGCAGGATCTCGCCCAAACCTGGCCAGCTTGGGTACTAGCTCAGGCTGGCTCGCCCCACTTAACATAAACAGCCCCTTACGTCACTGTGCCAGGATTAGATATGATGATTTTGATGTATTGAAATAAGTCACAATGCACAATTCAGCAAAACTACATTAGTTTTCTTGTGACAGATTATCATATAATTGGGCCAAAAAACCGACGTACCCTACCTAAGTTTTTGCAAGAAGAAATAGAAAACCCACATATATTTTTTTGGCTTTGTGAAAGAAAAGTTGATTCAAGTAGCAATGATATTCTTCTTGGACTATGATTTTCTCAACAACATTTGAGTTCTTTTAATTGGTGTTTGAACTTTAGTTTAAACCTACCAACTTATTTCAAAACATCAAAATCATCCCGCCTTCCATCTTGTTCCACCAAACCAAGATCATGTACTAAACAATGCCCCTTAATCCATTGAGTCACCTTGTGCCCCAAAGCAGCCTACTTTATTATTTTATTCTGTATAGTGGCACATTATTTTACTCAACAAGGGGAGAGCTCTGGCACTCAATGGGTTAAAATTAAAAATTAACTGACATCAACAGTGCAGTACTTTTTTGCCAGTTAAATGAGAATTATAGCAAATGAGAGCAAATATTTAATGGCTAAAAATTAGGTTACTTTACACCCAGAAATCATAATGCTTGTATATTTGCACACAATGCATGCTAAGTACCAATTGACTTCAGACGTCCTTAGGTGATGTCATTGTCAGACAATGAATATTTGAGCCACGTGTATCCCACATTAAATTGCATATACTAATGTTTTTATGGATTAAAAATTGTATAATGTATAAGCACTTCTTAGGGTTAAAATAAGTTATTGTGTTTGCATGCACAAGATTTTGCCCTACACTTGTACCTTGTAAAGTGGATAAGAGAGTTTTCACACACACTTGGGTTTATAATGATAATCTTAAAGCTAATACTGTTAAACCATTTCATACCTGGGCTATTCCAATTTTAATCTGAATAACACACCTCATGTTTAAAGGAACCTGGGAATTACAAGGGGCAGTGATATGCTGGATCCTGTTTATCAGGGAAGGGCAGCTGAGGGCATTAGTGGTGCCCATTGTTAGAATTTTTCCAAAATTAGTGTTGCCAGGGGGATTTTGGAAATCCTTTAAGACAGTTTAAATATGCTCCGATCTTTCCTGTACTCACTTGGCCAATTTTTAAGTAGAGTGACAATTTGGTGTCCCCCTATTTAGCTTTTGCACTCCCCTTAAATCCCATTTGAAATGACATTTCCAGCCATTTTGGATAGTAGTTTTGCAGATCTGTCTTATTATCCAAATATTTAGCGAAGAATATTAATAATTTAAAATTCTTGATAACATAAAAACAAGGAGACTTTTCTTTGACATTTCTGTATTAAAGAGGAAATATTATTGGGCTATAGTTTCAATAAATAACCAGTGGGGCAGTAATTATATACTGTACATCACGTATATAGAGGGTGCCATTGGAAAACCTGTACATAGGAAATGTGATATACATGTATTACTGGCTGTGAGTTTTGACTTTTGAAAGCCACAAGTTTGTCAAAATGTTTGCGTCTATCAGACAATTTCTGCTGCGATT